TATATTCAAGGGACTCTTCATTATGGTTTAACTTTCACCAAAAGTGACACTTTGCAATTGGAAGGTTGCACTAATGCTAACTAGGCAGGAAATAATTCTGTTTGAAAGTTTACCACCGGATATTGCATTTTCCTTGGTTCCAATCTGGTTTAGTGGTGCTCCAAAAAATAATCTGTTGTTGCCTTGTCTTCCACTGAGGTTGAGTATCGAGCTCTTGCCGAAGCTGCTACTGAAATTGCTTGGCTTCAAAACTTGTTTCAAGAACTATGCATCTCCCTTCCTAGCATCCCTGTTCTCTGGTGTGACAACACTAGTGCGGGAGCTCTTGCTTCAAATCTTGTTTTCCATGCTCGTACTAAACACATTGAAATCGATGTCCATTTCCTTCATGAGATGGTTTGTTCCAAACGGCTTGTCGTCCAATATGTTGCTATTGTTTTTCAAGCAGCTAACATCTTGACGAAACCCCTCTCTAGTTCTCATTTCTGCACTTTACGTGATCAACTTCATTTAGCTTCCTATGCTCCCCCTTCCTTGTTCTTGCTTGAGGGACAATTAGGTTCAGGGCAAGCTGCAAACTTCAGAGAGAGGGACGATCAGGAACATAACAAATGATTACAATTTCTTTTACAAATGATTACAAGTTTTTTTTTTACGAAAATATGCTTGGATGAATGCCTGAACTTCAGCTTGAGGGATGATGTAAACTACAGCAAGCTTCAGCTCAAGCAGCTAAAGTTTTCAGTTCCTGAATATCGGCACTTTCTGCATATCTCTCAACAAACTGCCAGTGGATCAAAATCAATTGAACAAATAGACAAGTTGCAGCTGATATTGTTGTGCAAGCTGGCAAGCCTGTTACTCTTCTGTTATGTGAGTTGCATGGGTTGTTATTCTTTAGTTATGCAAGTTGACAAGTGGCCATGCAACTTGCATCAACGTAAACAATCCAATGGTTAGAGTAAACCTGTGTAACATAGAATGTGCGGTGATGGGAATGCAAAATGTCATATTTAACCCCCTTAATGTTTAGTCTTTTATATGTATTTGTTTCCTAATTGTACTCATTATTACTCTATTTTGGTTTAGGAAGCAAATGGAGGTGTTAATTGAAAAACGGAATTAATTAGGGGAATTCGGACAGTTTCGCCACTGCTTCGTATTCTGGGCATAATTCTCTCATCCGAGCTCCGATTGAGATGATTCAAAATTCTGTGGAACGCTAAGAAAGAGATCTACAACTTTCATGTTTTGAGTTTTTAGAGATACTGGCTGAATAAAGGTTGTAATCGAGCTTGAAGTTGACGCACCTGCATTGCCGACGTCCTGGAGCGTTCTGACTTGTTATGCAAGTCAGTCTATTATTGCACGTTTTGAAGACATACATGCTGCACGAAAATTACAGCTGGAAACACCACTTTCCTATTTTATTAGGACTCTATTTTATTTTATTTCCAATTAGAATTAAATTAGGATTAATGTTATTTTAGGATAGGAGAATATTTCTTTTAGGAGATTGAGTGGGATTTGAATTCTTAAATTAGATTTTAAAAGGGAGATCAGAGTAGGTTTTGGGGGACCACGCCTCTCTCTCTTCTCTTCTCTGAAATTTTCTTTCACTTGAGTTTTTGTGATGGCCATGAGCGGCTAGAACTTTTGTAACTTGGTCGAAGGAAACGGAAACCTCGGAATCAAATAAACTGTGAGATCTTTCTGTTTTTAGTGTTAAATTCATGTTTGAGTATTGAATGTTATTCTGTGCATATTTTCATGATTGATGCATTTAATTACTAGGAGGCCTACTAGTGTATTATTTGTTGCAATCTACTGCTAAGTTTGATATCAAATCCGTAATTGTTTGATCCCTCCAACTTGTGAAGCAATTAGGGTTAGTAATTTGCTGCGTCAGGAATTAGTAACCTTACGAAGAACATTCAACTAAATTAAATACAACCGCTTGTGTTTGTGTTGTTTAGCTTCATCGATCTCTCTAATTCTTAAGGCTGCCACTAGATTAAATCTTGAGCGCTTGTCTAGGGTTGTTTAGGGGTAAGATTAATTAGGATCGCTTGTTTCCTGATTAATTACAATTAAGGAGAGATAGGAAATTAGTTCCAACGGTGAATATTCAATGTGTGAATTGATTATCTTTGCATCAATGATCAGTAGTAGGATTCCGATGGTGGATGTTGACAGAGACCAAGTTTGTCATTTTGATTGAATTCGAATTAAATTGTTTTTGTTTTTGCTGAGATTGTTTTCTGTTTTTACACAAACCCCCCAGGCTTTTTCACATCAAAGAAAATTCGGCTAGACACTCTTCGTGGGATCGACCCTTGCTTACCCTATTTACAGTTCAGTAGTTAGGTTCGGAAGGTTTTAATTCTGGGTGCCTACGACAGCACGCCATGCGGCTAGGATTCTAGAGAAATGAGGCAGCACATGACCTGCTTTCATTATAAATTGTGAATGTAAAAGACAGATTGTATTCAGAAAAAAAGAGAAGAAAATAAGTGCTTCAGTACTGACTCTTTATTTTCTGTTTTAGAATCTTCATATTTTTCTTTGTTGTTAGTGTGTTTTTCACAGATGATATATGATTTTCTGAGACCACAATTTTCCCAAGAATTCACTAATAAAAACTAACCACAAATGAAAACGAAATATTGCCACTTAATTTATTCATTTCATTTCCATGGTGTTACAGCTTACAAAGTTGAAAATTAAGTACTACGCATTTATAACTTACATAACTTATTTATGTATATTGTATCGTACGTTGGGTATATATATTATAATGAGTAAACGACGTGTTCCCAATTGAGGTTTGGCGAAATCTTAAGTTGGTACCCCTGGTTGCGTTCATTCTAGATTCATACCCTTAAAGTAATAGAAAACTGTTTGATTTAACAGTGAAGGGGTAAATTGGTCATTTTTTAGGAGGTAACACACATTAACAGACCTCACCCTTGGCCTTTTTCTTTCTTTTCCGACGATTCTTTCACCCAAAAGCATCATTTTCACGACCATTCAAACCCCCATCCTTCTCTCTACAAAACCTTTCCCTTCACAACCCCTCATCAATCAATTGCCGACCATGATAGTCGTGACATGCGATTATTTTTTCTGGTTTTTGGCCATTTTGAGCAGCTACAACCCCAATCACCACCACCATTTGACTCCGCGCATCCCCTGCACAAAATCCCTAACCTTCCCGACCACGACAACTCACAGTTTGCCGTCTACTACTTCACTAAAAACGTGATGAATACAAACCTCTTAGCCAGCAAATAACGACTAAACAGTTGGTGTGGACATAAGGATTTTATAGAGTTGAAGATGTCGGTTGAAGTGGTGGTGTTTAATTGGATTTTTACTATCGGAATCCAGCAAAAAAAAGAAACCTTGAACCAAACAGCACTGGTGATTGGAGGGGCTAATTAATGAGTTGGGAACCAAAGGGGTTTAGATGACAGACTATGCGAAATGTGATGAAGGTGACTAGGGGGTTCAACACCATCGAAAATAGCCTAGATCGAGCAAAAATCGAGAGGGTGCATAGTCGCCAAAGGTGTTATTGAAGTAAATTAAAAATAAAATGGTAAATTTATAATTGTATTAATTTATTTATTAAGGGCATTATGATAATTGCACCATTTGTAACCTAAAAACTGCTAACGATGTTTTCTTAAGGGTGAGAATTAGGATAAATGTAATCAGGGGTACTAACTTAGGATTTCGCCAACTTCGGGTGGGAATAGGTTGTTTACTTATAAAATTATAATACAAGTAAGCGTGTTTAATAGTTTGATCTACGTTAAAAATGAAGTACATGTAAGCATATATAATTTAGGTGATAACATAATGCTAAAGTCTTGATGAGTGAGGTGATAAATAGCAAATTGTTTAGCAATATATAAACAAAATTGCCTATACAACCTGTATAGATAATTATTGCACATGTTGAAACTATTATTGTTTGTTTACTCACTCAAATTTTGATAGAAAACAAGGGAATGGAAATAGAAGAGCTCTGTTTTTCTTTGTTTTTCCTCTGTTTTTATAGATAAAAATGTTTGTAGGATATATAAAATCTCACTGTTACTGTTCACACTTCCAAATGGTTCATTTGAATTCTTGAAAGCAAATATATGATATATCTTTACATCACTGGAAATATATGATATATTTATGAGTAATACTATGCATACAACTGAATTATGCAAATAGACAAAAAAAAAAAAAAAAAAAAAAAAAAAAAAGATAAAATAGTCATTTTACCTAAATTTTGTATAATTTTTGTGTGTTTATATGACTCAGTTGTTAGTAAAACATTATTATATATTTAAAAACAGAAATACTCAAATTTAGGCCCTGACGATGTTTTGTTTGCTGAAAAGGCCCATTTCAATTCGGCCCATTTCATTATCCCCTGCTCGCTCTCACAGCTCCTACACTCTCTGCCCCTTCGCGGCTCTGACCTGTAAGTTTGTGAGAAATGGAGAAAATGGGTGATCTCGTCGAGTCAAGACAATCGGATCTTAACAAGTCTTTCAAGCTCGCAATTCGTTCTCTTCTTACTACTTGCTCAAAACAAGTAACTTTTCTTCACTGCTTAATTTTCTACATTTATTTCATTTACTTTCACTATCAATTCTCTTATTTACCACTATTTTTTTTTACTTTTTCGAAATGAAAAAGGAATTCGGCAAAGCATTCAATAACTTTATTGCTTCTGAGCAAGACTGCCTCCACCGCCTATTCATCCAAGTCCCCTCTGTAAACACCTACCCAGGCCTGTTTTTAATTCTTTTAAATTTTGTTTTGGTTAATGTTTGGAATTTGAACAAATGGGTGTACAGTTTCAGGTGATTAATTCTTTGCATGAAAACATTGAGGTATGATTTTCCCTTATGCTTTTTAAAGGATTTAAATACGCTATTACTAGGCTATGATTGTTAATTTCAAATGTTGCCTCTTTTGCATATTACAGGATGAGCTTCAGTCTTTATGCCTTGAAACTTAGGTATATTTCTATTCATTACTTGGGTCCGCAACTAGATGTGGTCAATTCAATTACTAATTAAATTCATTCCTTTTGATTTTATGAATTTGATTGGTTGGGCATTCTAATGTTGAATTAAATATGATTTTGAAGGCGGGAAACACTCTTGATACTGTGGAGCAACTTGTGGAAGAACAAGGCCTGGATCCATTGTCTTCAGATAAGTAGGTCTATCTAATCCCTTGACGGCATGTAAATACTTGTTTAACTGATAAAGTTTTATTGCAATATTCACTATTTGTAATAGATGTTTTTGTCACATCATTGTATGCTTAAGCTACATATTTTAAGCTGCACAAACCAATACTGTCTGATTTTATATGGTCATTTGGAAAACTATTACACTTGTATCCATACACAGTACATTAACAAGAATGAGTGAAATGATTTTACTCATGATGTCTTCTGTATTAGAGCTTTGGTCTTATCGTATTATTTGAAAAGGGTAGTGTGCAGGTTGGCTTCTAAACACTATTTGCTTGGTTTTTTCGCTATGCATTGATTCTTCACTTGGTGGATAATTAGCAGTATTATAGAATTCATTGTTTCATGTTACTTTTAACGTTTAGAATGTTTATTTTGTTTAGTGAGAGGACCTTGCCGATACTTGAAGCTGTACAGCCGTTTCCCTGGACATGGTCAGAGCAGAGTACTTCATGTACTTAACAGCTCTAGATTTTATGTTCATATTCTGATTTAGCTCTAGATTCGGCTACTCCTGCCTCTAAATTAGGAAAAAGTTTTCTGCTATGAACATGATACATTCTGCGAGGTCTTTTTCTAAGTTCACTCTGCTATACATATATTAGATACGTAATGGCCAACTTACTCTTGAAGAATGCCATTAGTAGCAGACAGAGGCACATACATTGGTGGTGTCAGTTCCAGTAGACATTATCGTTTGATGCTTGTAACCATTTTTCCAGGATCAACTTTTCACTTTAATCTCCTACGTGTGATTAATTTTAAGATTTATCTTCCTTCATCATGAAAGAAACAGAGAATAAAACAAAGAAGAACACAGTTGGAATCTTTTCTGACAGTATAGACCTATTATTGAATGATATTAAGGAATATTATGTATGAACTAAAAACAAATAACCACTGATGGAGAAATGCTGACAGTGTATGTTTCTATGCTCTCATCATCATCCATAACTCTGATGCAGTCACTATCGTGACTTTGTAATAAAGGACTATCCAACTACATTTGTTTCGTGCTGGAACTGGTTTCAATGGCCCTTGGATTGCTACTTGATCAATATGCAGTTCATTCTATATGTTGCAATGGATTTTCTTATTTCAAGTGTCTTAGCTAGCATGCAGGACAAATATTATGGATGTTACATGTGATCTATCAACAGCGAAGAAGAATGAGATCTAGTACTTGATGCATATGCTGGAAAGGGTGAGTAGTGTTTAGAAATGATCAATTTTCTTCATTCAAAAATATAGATTTATTATTTTTGTTTGTTTTTAAGGGTTTTTTTAACATGCATTATGCACTTATTGATTGGTGGTTGAACCAACTTTTGTTGATTGGATGAAGAGGGTTTATGTCAATAAGATTTAAGCTTCTCCAGTTTTTTCTTAAGTAAGACAATTTGTGCATAGTATCTTGCAGAAATCCTACAGCAGAAATCAAGATGATGGGGATTTATAGCTGAATTTTTTTTTCTTCATTTTGTACTCATGCTGTTCTTATAGTTGTTCTGTCCTGTTTTGTTCTAAAAATATCTCCTTTATCTTGAGAAACAAGCAAGATGCAGCAACATTTGCCCATCAAATGTGCTGATTTACCCTCCTGCATTAAGGTTAACTAGAAAATGTGTCCGACATTTCTATTTAATTTCAAGTTCCCAAAAACCAATTCGTACAACTCAAAAATGTTTGTCATAGCACTTTGCAAATAGTCCCCTAGAATACTCAATCTTTCTCTATATTGCCATGCTTTGTTCAATGATTTTACGTTAACTTAGGGAAAAGTTTTGTGGGGAGCCGTGTTTGAGCATTTTATGCTGTCAAGAAAGAGCCAATTCAGAAATCAGTCTATGCAAGGAACATTTGTATTGAATTCCTGTCAGTCTTGGCAGCCAATCTTACTTTTTGTTCCATTAAGTTAGAATGCTCCTTGACACCTTGCTCAATCTAATTCATGCTTTCATTGATTTGCTAAGGGTAATCCTGAAGTTGCTAAAAGTAAATCTACTACAAATATAGGATACACGATTCCTGGAAATCATAGCCTTAATTCAAATAATCTATAGAAAACGAAAATGGGCTCTAGTATTGGCCCAAAAATCTTTGTTTGATTCTAGTAAAATAGGTATTGTACATAAATGCTTTTCTGTTGCGCAAACTGTTCTTATTCTGCTTCATTCATTAGGTTGAAGAGCAGAATCACCTAACCCAAGCAGTATTATAATTCTTTTGAGAGATTCATAAAGTTACTTGTAATATTTTCTGTAATCTTATGCTTTATGAACAAAATGTGAATCTTTCATCCACTGATCCAATCAAGACGGACTTTGCTCTCCTATTATCCAAAGAAGCTTTGTTAGGATAATTAAGGATTGTGGTTTCTAGCAGGTTATTGTCAACTTCCATTCAGTGCAGGATGCTTAGCAGAGGTTGTGTTGTGTTGGGTGAGTTTGTCGGAAGTTTTGAAATTGTAAAGCTAATATCTCCACTTTCTCACATCCTACAAATACCAACTCTTTTAAAACTGGCCATTTGAAGTATGTGTTCCTCCATATAAATCTTTGAGATTTGGTAGCATGTATAGAGTCAAACTGGTTAGTTTGGAAAACACAAGTCTAAGGACTGCTTCCTCGGCAACAATTTCCTCTGCTATGCAATAGCTTTTCTCATGCACTTGGAATATCTCTTCTAATGAATCACAATACATTGCATGCTTTCGATTGCCAATTCCTTCAAACTAGGGAGTCTTAACTGAAAAATTCAACTATAATTTCAATAATAACAATAGAAATAAATGATATAATACAAATCTATATTTCAGGTTTTCCTTAGAGTTCATTTCTTCAGGTTCCTGGCTTGATGTCATCTCACCACATTCACTATTTTAAAAACCGGACCGGACCGGCTAGTCTAACCGGTTGGACCGTGAACCGGTCACATGTCCAGTTCGAGTCACCCTCAAACCCGCTAATATACATGGAGCCACTTTAAACTGGTTGAAAACCGGATAATATGAGTGAACCGCCGGTCCAACCGGACAGGCGGAAAAACCGATCCACAATTTAAATCCCTAATATGTGACAATCTTCTTCTCTTTCACACAGCCCTTTCTCATCTTCTTCTCTGTCACGTAGCCCTTTCTCATCTTCTTCTCTTTCAGTTTTTCTCAGTTTTTCTCATGAAAATTTCTCAGTAAACACTCTGATCTCTGCAAAAATTCTCATGGTTTCGGCTGTGTCTTCTATTCTCTCTGAAATCCCACCCAAATCGCATTTGAACTCTCTGAAATCGACGATGACGTCTTCCTCCCTCACCGAAAATCGACGGCGACAGCTCCATTCATCGATCCAGGTAACGCCATTCCTCGCTCCCTTTACATTTAAGTTAACACCCTTTACATTTTTCAATCTATAGAGCTATTGTGGTTGTATTGTAACAACACTATTGTTTACCTTGAGTGAATCTTTTTTCATAAGTTGCTGTTTTTCACCCTTGGCTGTTGCTGGATGTCCTGATTTTTTGTTGTTATAATATTTTATAAAATTTGAGTGAGGACAAGTTTGAAAGGTTTTGTTTGCGTCTGTGAACACATAATTTGGCTTGACAGAAGCATACATGCATCTGATGGAAAACACAAATTAAGATGATAATACTATTTGTGCTATTGTGATATTTTAGTTTGTTGAATCAGTTTGACTTGTAACACTTGAACTAAAAATTCATTTAGAGAAAAAGAGAATGAGATTTTACTTATGATTTCTATTTCTAAGTATCAAATCATTTTATATACATGTGAAGGATAGAATTCATGTTTTATACATTCTAGGTGGAAATGAGTTAGATAACATAACATTTCTATGAATTATTAAAGTAAATAGAATGAAATCTTAAGTTTAAAATGCCAGATCACCAATCTTGGAACTCACTCATGCAGAGATTGGGTTATGAACTTACCAAACTCACCCCTCCTAGGACCTAGTATTAGAAGACCAGCATCTGGTAATGACCTCTTTGGTGATGCAAGAGTTGGTTCATACCATAGTTTAGCTTACCACCAATATTCTTCCCTTTTTGCAATCTGACTGAACCTTGCATCTCTACTTGATCAGTTCTGAAAATGGTTTGATTTTGAATTAATTTGTTTTATCAGAATGATTGAATAAACTTACTATGTAATTCAAGATGTTCCCTCTTTTATGTGAGGATTGAATTTCAGATTTCGCTGCAATCTTTAAACAAGAGTTGACAACATTTCCTGCTTGATTGAGATTTTGCATGACCATCCAAGCCCTTAGCTGTTTAAACTTTTAATGTTCTTAAGAGGGATTGGTTTTGGTGGAATGATTGACCCTATACGTCTGACGTTGAACTTTCCCCTTTGCTTTTGCACTCTGTAGATGAACTGTTTAAAATATCAATTTTGTAACGCCCCACTTGAGGTACGTAGTTATTGTTCCTTCTTTTGCTCTTATTTGAGTTGGTCTCTTGGTAATATTGTTTGGTTGACCTTTGTTTGAGTGTTGTGTTGAATGCTTGCCCTGAAATTGGTTGAAAATAGAAGAAGTTCAGTGTGCCAAGCTTCGCCGGGGCGAAGAAGAATCTTCGCTGCGACAAAGAGGTGTTGAATCCATGGGAAAATGTTCTGGACAGTTTCGCCGCGGCGACAGAAGGTTCCTCGCCGCAGCGACAGTCCGACCAAAATGTTTGTTAAGTTTTAAATATTCTCTTCCCTAAGGGCAATTTGACCATTCTACCCCTAATTAGCAGGAAAAGTGGGGAGTAAAATGTAAGGAAATTTCAAGGAGAATATGTTAGTATGGGGGTGTGTTAGTAAGGAATCAAAGGATATGGATGGAATTTTCATAGAAATAGCAAGGGCAAAATGGAAGAATGAGTTATTAAGAGATATTAAAAGGGTTTAGTCTTTGAAAGCTCTTCATTTTCCCATTCCACCGCCTCCTTCATTCTTCCAAACTCTCTCAAATTTCCTTCATCTTCCAAGGATTTCCAAAGAGCCTTTTTGAGTAACTTTTAGTAGGGTTTTAATCTAAAGCTTCCTAAGGTAAGGATTCTTGCTTTAGATGAGAGTTTTTTATGTTTTTGATTAGAGTCTCATGTTGTGATTGTTGGTTAGTTGTAGAGAAAAGCGTCCCAAAGGAAAGGAGAAGTGTTAAAGAAGCTAATTTCTCACAAGGTAAGTAAACTCAACCTAAGTTGAGTTTTAAGAACTCTTTTGAGTAGAGTTATATACATATACTATATTGGTTTCATTTAATTGTTGAATGAGATTTTAGTTATGATTGAGTATGAGAAGTTTTATTTGCTTGATGTTGGGTTGAGTTTGATAGAATTGGAGGAAGTTTTGAGCACTTATGGAAGTGTTTCTCTTTTGACAGGAAATTTAGAGCTTAGGAGGGAGTTTCCTCCCATTTGGTTGATTAAAGAAAACAGAAAAGTTAGTTAGAGTAGAGTTATTTATGCATATG